CATAAAAACACAGTTTACTAAGAAATACACCGAAACAAAACGCGATTTTCGCGAAAAAAGAAATTTTTTTTTTTGACGGTAGGCCTACCGGCGTTCTAGGCCTATATCTCGGAAGTAACTTATTCACTTATTTCGCGGACCTCAACCATTATTAATGATTGTATTGAAATGATTTTCACAGACAATATAAAACAAAGTGTGTTTTAAATTTTAACGAAGGATATTTTGGAATATCTCAAATATTTTTGATTTTGTGGGGGGTAAAAGGCAGATATTTTGGTGAATGCCAAAAATTCTGTCAAATGTATTTTTTTTTATCATGATAATAAGATATATTAGATGAAATGGCAACGTAAAAGATTCGTGCTAGTTGTATTCTAACAGTTGGGAATGTCGGAAGTGCCACTCGTAGTGCCAATTTGTCAGGGGATGCTGCCATATATCAAAATTATGTTAATATTTTTTTTCTATATTGTTTGTTGGCCAATCATACTGAAACTTTGTCACATTAAACTATATATGCACCTCTAAAAGTACACCAAAAATAAAATAAATCGGTTGAAAAAAAAAAAAAAAATATAATCCCACTCTCCCCCCTTTACAATGAAGTTCAAGTGAGAGAGAGGGAAGGTGGTAGTATCGTGGGGGTGTTTATTACTGGGTTGGTAGTGAGGGAGGGTAAGGGCAGACTGTGGGCAGTCAAACTGAGAGTGTTTTCGTCTCACTATCACTTCATAAACACTGTTTATATGATCCACACTTTCACTACAGGAAGATGTTACACAAATCACTGTGTTGCACTGTACAAGTCACGTTGTTATAAAGCACCTGGATACTAGCACAGAGCATTAAAGAGGTATAATATTAGATGCTCACTGTGAAGGAAGTAGTGACGTCACTCCTAGGCCTACCCTTCCCCTCACTCTCACCATATTGTTCACCAAAACACTCTTAAATATCACTGATTTTATAGAGGAGTTGGCTTACTTGTAGTAATGTGTTGTAGGTAGTACTAGGTCACTGAACAGTTTTTTTCCTCACCAACCCTCGTAGTTAAGTAATATTAAGAAAGATTGTGGAGCACACTGTGACACGTCCTCTCTCACTCTCTCTCTGTTCCACTCTACCACTTTTTGTTTGCACAGGGTTTGACAAGGCTAGGTAAAGGATCCCTAGCTTTATTGACAAGCTATTTACAGGTTAAGGATTCCTAACTTTATTGATGTAGCTGTTACCTAGATCAGCTCATTTGAAAGCATTCTTTATTGTTATGAGACATGCAAGTAGGGAACAGGATGAAGTTGGAGCCTTCTGTGGGCCAGCATTTTCATTTCATCAACTGGCTCTATCTCGTTGACATCATAATACTGTACGAATGCTTTCCATACTCGAGTCATCCTGGGCATAAATGATCTCAGATGAAGTGATGTTCTGGAGATGTGTACAGCCAGAGTGAAGTTGCTACTTTCTGCCCGTGTTGTGGTATAGAAGCTTTCTTCTCTCTGTCCTCGAAGTGGATCCAAGTGTGGAACTTGTACATAACAGTAAGGCCACCCACATCCCTCCTGTATTGAAGGCTCTGCTGAAATGACAGATCTGTTAAGGACTGGTCCAGGCGAGAGATGAGACGTCTCGCTCTGTTCTCTACTCTGTCAAGCAGTCGCAGATGAGAGGGGGGGCAGGCAAACCAAGAAAGTAGAGCATACTCAAGGTGTGAGCGTACTTGTGCCTCGTACAAAATCTTGCAATCCCTACTGTCAAGCAGATGTGAGATGTGGCGGAACTACAAAATGCATTAATTAAGATTTAAAAAATTGCTTAGTGCAAAATGTGATTAATGAACTTAATTTGTTTCAAGAACATAATTAGATATCTCATAAGGGATACCTTGAAGAGGTTCCCTCTTATTTTATCTTCCTCCTTTATGATTATATTTTGCTCATTACTTGAAAACGCCTTATCCAATTGGCTTAAAGTTTTCAACACATGTGGTACACATTAGGTACACATGACGAATGGGTGTTTGTGGGAAACAATTAGGCTGCAATACTAGGGTTGAAAACAGCAGATATTACCAGGATATCCCAGGGATGTGTTTAAAAGACAATATTCAAAATGAAGTTTCTATTAAAGGCAAAGCAATTGCTCAACAAAGAGAGATTGTAGAGGCAACGAGTGACTAGCTCCCTTAAGGTTTTTTATACAAATAGTAGGAGTCCAAGAAATAAGATAGATAAGCTAAGATTACTTGCAAGTGCAGGTAAAATAGATATTGTTGCTATAACGGAGACCTGGTTCAACTTGAAAGATAGAGAAATGCCTTCAGAATACACCATGCAGGGTTATAAACTATTCCACACTGACAGGGTCAACAGTAAGGGTGGTAGAGTGGGGATGTATGTCAGAGATAATTTAAATTGTTGTGTTAGACAAGATAAAAGATTAGAAACATCGGACACAGAATCTGTTTTGCTACAGTTTCTCGAAGATCCTGAAAAATTAATTTTGGTGTGATTTATAGGCCCCTAAACCTTGATAGGGTGTGTGGTAGGCTGCTATGGGATGAAATTCATAAGGCGTCTGGATATGAAAATGTTGTGTTAATGGAAGATTTTAACTTTAGGCAAATGGATTGGAGCAATGTGACAGGAAATCTTGAGTCTAGTGACTTTCTTGACACGATTCAGAATTGTTTTATTAAAACAGTTTGTGACAGAACCAACTAGAGGAAACAACCTGCTTAACTTGGTTCTTGCCAACAAAGAATCACTAGTTAATAATCTTGAGGTTAATGATGAGCTTGGGGAAAGTGATCACAAATCATTTAGTTTCAATATATCATGGAATTACCCAGATAACTACAATCAAGTCTCTGTCCCAGACTTCTGCTTGGCTGGCTTCATGGGACTGAGAAATTCCCTGGGTGGGCTAAATTGGGATGACCTGACTATGGGTCACGTAGGTGGTTGTTAAGGTTTTTACTCAGCCCTCAAAGGAACTCTCCAAAGGCTGGCCCCTTCTCAGGAAAATAACTAATAGAAATATAGTATTAACAGGATACAAAAATAAATTTTTATTATATTAAAGGTAATACGATAAAACAATTAAAAATGACAATTAAACCTATTTGAAGCAAAATGAAAAATGAAATACATAAATAATATATGAACTCAAAGCTAATTTGTACAGGTGGTAATTGTAGAATGGCGAGCCATTGTTGTTGACACAGCTTCGAGTAGTTGGTGGATTATTATTATTATAATCAAGGGGAAGCGCTAAACCCGGAGGATTATACAGCGCCTGGGGGGGGATGTGGAAGGCATTCAGGCTTAATTCGGGGAACTGGAGCACAGATCCAATTTCCTAAATCAAGAGCCCCTCACCAACATCAAGGAACCTTCCTTGAGGGGAGTAGTTGGTGGAAGCTCGGTGGTCGTCGAGGATGCAACAGAGGGAGGGGGGGGGGTCAGAGCTGGTACTTGACAACCCAGTAACAATTTCGCCACACTTTATGTCGAGCCTTGAACGATCCGTCACAATGACAGAAATGCAGGTCTTTCACTACTGAAAAAATGAAGCGTAGCTGCCTGGGTTTACATACAATAAGGTAAGTAGATCGTGGGTGACGTCTCATAACCAATGTTAGGTTATACTCCTTCAATAAATTTCTGCATGTGGCAGTCCAGGAGATATAATGGGAGCTGCTAGTCAAGTCATTATTCACCGGTTGGAGCCCAGCAGGTCACCTCTCTCGGTGTGGAAAAAGGGATGGGGGGTGTTGTGGGAGGTAGTCACTCAACCTGCCTTAACAAGCAGACTGCCAAACAAATTACAATTCCCCTACATTCACTCGCTACTCCTATCTACTGAACTTTTCCTCACACTCCCCCATACCAAAACTTATAGTCAAGGAATATAAGGAGATTTAGAGGAAAAAGTTCTAAAATGAAAATTTGTGTAAGGTTGTGTGTGTGTGTACTCATCTATTTGTGGATGCAGGGGTCGATTCATAACTCCTGGCCCCGCCTCTTCAGTGATCACTACTAGGTCCTCTCACTGCTCCATGAGCTTTGTCAAAGCTCGTCTGGAAACTATGTATGGTTCCTGCCACCAGTACGTTACTTGCCAGAGTATTCCACTTCATGACAACTCTATGACTAAAGAAATGCATCTTAACATCCCTTTGACTCATCTGAGTCTTCAACTTTCAATTGTGACGCCTTGTTTCTGTGTCCCATCTCTGGAACATCCTGTCTCTGTCCACCTTGTCAGTTCGCAGTATTTTGAATGTCGTTATCACGTCTCCCCTATACCTCCTGTCCTCCGGTGTCTTCAGACGGATTTCTCTTAACCTTCTTTTGTAGCTCGATCGCTAGCCGCACTCAGCTCGCACACTGAGATCCAGAGTTGGAATCTCCGGTACGGCTGGATAAGATTAGGACGTGTTTCCATAAGACACCTGTGACTATGTATCTAGTAGTATGTTATTTCATGAAGCAATATAATTGTTTTTTTTATTATACGAAATATAGAGCTCCTTAACTATAGTATATATACTTAACATAGACATATATACTTACATTTAAGACCCGACTGATCAAATTATTGTCAGGAATCTCAATTCCTTCATTTTCCTTCACTGAGATAATCTGTATAATGTCCTTCTTTGCCTGGATGTGCGCCTCTACATAGGCGTCATGACGGTTGTCAGTCTGGCGCAGCAATGTTTTCACTAGTTCTGTCTTCCCAGTAATAATAGCATTCTTTAACTGCGTATCCACATTCTGAGGAATAAAAAAAAACATCTAATAATCAGCGTTCTTAAACAGTACCTCAAGTTTAACTTTCAAAAAATATTCAAAATAAACTAAGCATAATGGTGTGTTTTAGTTACCATTTTAACCTAGGCACAGGTCGATTACACACCAAACCTTGTCTATATGCGTGCATGTATGTGTGTGTGCATGTTTGTATGAGTGTGTATGTGTGTGTGTGTGTACTCACCTAGTTGTACTCATCTAGTTGAGGTTCCAGGGGTCTAGTCTAAGCTCCTGGCCTCGCCTCTTCATTGGTCACTACTAGGTCACTCTCCCTGAACCATGAGCTTTATCATACCTCTGCTATGTATGGATCCTGCCTCCACTATATCGCTTCCCAGACTATTCCACTTCCTGACTACTTTGTGGCTGAAGAAATACTTTCTAACATCCATGTGATTCATCTGTGTCTCCAGCTTCCAGTTGTGTTCCCTTGTTGCTTTGTCCAATCTCTGGAACATCCTGCCTTTGTCCTCCTTGTCAATTTCTCTCAGTATTTTGTATGTTGTTATCATGTGTCCCCTATCTCTCCTGTCCTCCAGTGTCGTCAGGTTGATTTCCCTTAACCTCTCCTCGTAGGACATACCTCTTAGCTCTGCGACTAGTCTTGTTGCAAACCTTTGCACTTTCTTAGTTTCTTTACGTGCTTAGCTGGGTGTGGGTTCCAAACTGGTGTCGCATACTCCAATATGGGCCTAACGTACACGGTGTACAGTGTCCTGAACGATTCCTTATTAAGATGTCGGAATGCTGTTCTGAGGTTTGCTAGGCGCCCGTATGCTGCAGCAGTTATTTGGTTGATGTGGGTTTCAGGAGATGTGCCTGGTGTTATACTCACCCCAAGATCTTTTTCTTTGAGTGAGGTTTGTAGTCTCTGGCCCCCTAGACTGTACTCCGTCTGCGGTCTTCTTTGCCCTTCCCCAATCTTCATGACTTTGCACTTGGTGGGATTGAACTCCAGGAGCCAATTGCTGGACCAGGTCTACAGCCTGTCCAGATCCCTTTGTAGTTCTGCCTGGTCTGCGATCGAAGGAATTCTTCTCATCAACTTCATATCATCTGCAAACAGGGACACCTTGGAGTCTATTCCTTCCGTCATGTCGTTCATAAATACCAGAAACAGCACTGGTCCTAGGACTGACCCTTGTGGGACCCCGCTGGTCAGAGGTGCCCACTCTGACACCTCGCCACGTACCATGACTCGCTGCTGTCTTCCTTACAAGTATTCCCTGATCCATTGTAGTGCCTTCCCTGTTATCCCAGCTTGGTCCTCCAGTGTTTGCACTAATCTCTTGTGTGGTACTGTGTCAAACGCCTTCTTGCAGTCCAAGAAAATGCAATCCACCCACCCCTCTCTCTCTTGTCTAACTGCTGTCACCATGTCATAGAACTCCAGTAGGTTTGTGACACAGGATTTCCCGTCCTTGACCCCATGTTGGCTGCTGTTGATGAGATCATTCCTTTCTAGGTGTTCACCTATTTGTGGTTGCAAGGGTCGAGACACAGCTCCTGGCCCCCCGCTTCACTGATCGCTACAAGGTCCTCTTGAACGGTATTATACTCACCCCAAGATCTTTCTCTTTGAGTGAGGTCCACAGTCTCTCGCCACCTAGCCTATACTCTGTCTGTGGTCTTCTTTGCCTTTCCCTGATCTTCATGAATTTGCATTTGCCGGGGTTAAATTCGAGTAGTCAGACGCTGGACCACTTGTCCAGTCTGTCCAGGTCTTTCTGAAATATTTCCTGATCCTCATCTGATTTAATTCTCCTCGTTAACTTCACATCATCTGCGAACAGGGACACCTCTGAGTCTATCCCTTCCATCATGTCATTCACATATACCAGAAATAGCACTGGTCCTAGGACCGACCCCTGTGGGACCCCTCTCGTCAAAGGTGCCCACTGTGATACCTCATCCCGTACCATGACTCTTTGTTGCCTCCCTGTCAGATATTATCTGATCCATTGCAGTGCCCTTCCTGTTATACACGCCTGATCCTCTAGTTTCTGCACTAGTCTCTTGGAAGGAACTGTCTCAAAAGCCTTTTTGCAGTCCAAGAAAATGCAATCAACCCACCCCTCTCTCTCGTGTCGCACTTTTGTAACTTTGTCATAAAACTCCAGAAGGTTTGTGACACAGGATTTGCCTTCCATGAATCCGTGCTGGTTTTCATTTATAATCTTGTTCCATTCCAGCTGCTCCACCACTCTCCTACTGATAATCTTCTCAATGACTTTGCATACTATACACGTCAGTGACACCAGTCTGTATTTTAGTGCCTTTTCTCTGTCTCCTTTTTAAAAATGGCAACTACATTTGCGGTCTTCCATACCTCAGGTAGTTGCCCTGTGTGTTTGTGTGTGAGTGTGTGTGTGTGTGTGTGTGTGTGTGTGTGTGTGTGTGTGTGTGTGTGTGTGTGTGTGTGTGTGTATGTGTGTGTGTATGTGTGAGCGTGTATGTGTGTGTGTGTGTACTCACCTATTTGTACTCACCTATTTGTGCTTGCAGGGGTCGAGTCTTAGCTCCTGGCCCCGCCTCTTCACGGTTGCTACTGGGCCCTCTCTCTCCCCGCTCCATGAGCTTTATCAAACCTCGTCTTAAAACTGTGTATGGTTCCTGCCTCCACTACGTCATTTTCTAGGCTATTCCACTGCCTTACAACTCTATGACTGAAGAAATACTTCCTAATATCTCTCTGACCCATTTGTGTCTTCAACTTCCAATTGTGGCCTCTTGTTTCTGTGTCCCCTCCCTCGAACATCCAGTCTTTGTCCACCTTGTCTTTTCCACGCATTATTTTATATGTCGTTATCATGTCTCCCCTGAACCTCCTGTCCTTTAGTGTCGTCAGGCCGATTTCCCTTAATCTTTCTTCATAGGACATTCCCCTTAGCTCTGGAACTAACCTTGTCGCAAACCTTTGTACTTTCTCTAGTTTCTTGACGTGCTTTATCAAGTGCGGGTTCCAAACAGGTGCTGCATACTCCAGTATGGGCCTGACATACACGGTGTACAGTGTCTTGAACGATTCCTTACTAAGGTATCGGAATGCTGTTCTCAGGTTTGCCAGGCGCCTATATGCTGCAGCAGTTATCTGATTGATGTGTGCTTCCGGAGACATGCTCGGTGTTATACTCTCCCCAAGATCTTTCTCCTTGAGTGAGGTTTGCAGTCTTTGACCACCTAGCCTATACTCTGTCTCTGGTCTTCTGTGCCCTTCCCCTATCTTCATGACTTTGCATTTGGCAGGATTAAATTCGAGAAGCCATTTGCTGGACCAGGTGTCCAGTCTGTCCAGGTCTCTTTGAAGTCCTGCCTGGTCCTCATCAGATTTAATTCACCTCATTAACTTCACATCATCTGCAAACAGGGACACTTCTGAGTCTAACCCTTCCATCATGTCGTTCACATATACCAAAAATAGCACTGGTCCTAGGACGACCCCTGTGGGACCCCGCTCGTCACAGGTGCCCACTGTGATACATCATTACGTACCATGACTCGTTGTTGCCTCCCTGTCAGGTATTCTCTGATCCATTGCAGTGCCCTTCCTGTTATATGCGCCTGATGCTCTAGCTTCTTCACTAATCTCTTGTGAGGAACTGTGTCAAAGGCCTTCTTGCAGTCCAAGAAGATGCAATCAACCCACCCCTCTCTCTCGTGTCTTACTTCTGTTATTTTATCATAAAACTCCAGAAGGTTTGTGACACAGGATTTGCCTTCCATGAATCCGTGCTGGTTGGTATTTATACTCTTGTTCCGTTCCAGGTGCTCCACCACTCTCCTCCTGATAATCTTCTCCATAATTTTGCATACTATACACGTCAATGACACAGGTCTATAGTTTAGTGCCTCTTTTCTGTCTCCTTTTTTAAAAAGGGGAACTACATTTGCCATCTTCCATACCACAGGTAGTTGCCCAGTTTCCAGGGACGTGTTGAAGATTGTGGTAAGTGGCATGCACAACATATCTGCTCCCTCTCTAAGGACCCACGGGCAGATGTTGTCCTGTCCCATTGCCTTTGAGGTATCGATGTCCCTTGCAGTTTTCTTCACCTCCTCCTCATCTGTATGTATGTCGTCCAACACTTGTTGGTGTATTCCTTGCTGGTGTCCCCATCTGGTCTGTCCCCCCAGAGTCCTTCCTGTCTCTACTGTAAATACTTCCTTAAATCTCGTGTTGAGCTCCTCACATACCTCTTGATCGTTTCTTGTGATTTTCTCCGCCTTCTTTCCTCAGCCTTTTCACCTGGTCCTTGACTGTTGTCTTCCTCCTAATGTGGCTATACAGCAGTTTCGGGTCAGATTTGACTTCGATGCTATGTCGTTTTCATACTGTCGCTGGGCCTCCCTCCTTATCTGTGCATACTCGTTTCTGGCTCTTCACTAATCTCCTTGTTTTCCTGGGTCCTATGCCTCCTGTACCTTTTCCATTCTCTGTTGCACTTAGTTTTTGCCTCCCTACACCTTCGGATAAACCAAGGACTCGTTTTGGTCTTCCTATTATTTCTGTTTCCCTTGGAACAAAACTTTCCTCTGCCTCCTTGCACTTCGTTGCCACATATTCCATCATCTCGTTTACTGATTTTCCTACCATTTCTCTGTCCCACTGAACGTCCTTCAGGAAGTTTCTCATACCTGTGTAGTCCCCCTTTTTATAGTTTGGCCTGTCCCCTTCAGTTCCTGTTACCTTCTCCACTTGTAACTCTACTATATAATCAAAACTCAGAACCACGTGATCGCTAGCTCCAAGGGGCCTCTCGTAAGTGATGTCCTCAATGTCTGAACTGCTCAGGGTGAACACAAGATCCAGTCTTGCTGGCTCATCCTCCCCTCTCTCTCTGGTTGTGTCCATGACATGTTGATGCATGAGGTTTTCAAGTACCACATCCATCATCTTGGCTCTCCATGTTTCGGGACCCCCATGTGGCTCCAGGTTTTCCCAGTCGATCTCCCTGTGGTTGAAA